AAACTTCTGTCCTGCCTTTTTTTCAAATTTCATCCATAACTTTTCTTAAAACCGGATGAAAGGAATATTCTGTAACACAAAATACAGGATAGTGTGCAAAAGTGAAAATAAAGCCGCCGGACAATAATAAGCATGTAGCAACCGATGAAAAGGAAGACAATCCGCAAAAAAATCCTCCCGCCCCCCTTTTTCCCTATTAACATTTCATAGTGTACTTAACCAAGAGATATGTTACAACATTCAATCCATCTTCTCAGGTATTTGTTGAATGCTTTTTTTCTATTTCAGAAAACACAACAACCACAGAAGAATCATTCACCCAAGCTCAAACACCTGTCAAATACAACCGTCCTGTTTCTGTCACTTTGCGTCAACAGTTAAATATCAAAAAGTCAAGGAATGAAAATCTTGACATTTCTAGCTGTATCAAAATAGGCAATACATTAGTGTTTACCGACATTGAGAATAACCGACTTATTATTTGTAATTCAGATGGTACTGATATTCATCACATTCCTCTGTCCTATGAACCATATTTTAAAACGGAGGTAAATATTAATACTGTTGCAGTATCCTGTGGAGTTGCCAGTATCATACTGATAATAAATATATCCACAGGTTCTGTCACCAGTACAATCAACACCAGTCGTAACAAGATAAGATTAATGTACGTCTCTGTTAATGAAACTTCTTGTCTATCCTTTGAACATACAATACATTAATGTTATACTACCTGTACTTGAAAAAAAAGGTATGTGACCCATACTGTTAATTTCAATTGTGAAAAAAGCATCATGAAAACTACATTTGTTTTCATTTTAGAAACGCCATCTAACATAGCACCGGAGACTATTCTTTTAATGTCTTCCAAAGACTATTTAGACTAGATCTCTTCATGAAATGCCTCATGAACCAAACCTGCTTATACTAATCGGGCCCCTTATCCCAAACTTTAACTCCACCATACTCATTGCTGAAGATCTAAAAAATAGATCCTCAATACCACTAAAAACATCTCCCTTTTTACCCACTGGACTAAATAAAACTATGGAGGTAACATACTTCGTCTGCGGAGTCTAACCATCACTCTTGAACCTTCGTCCTACTTCACTACAATTCCTGGATAGGACATCTGATTCTGAAACTTCAACTATCCTCCTGCTGCTCCTGTTCCCATGCTGAAAAAAAAATGTCATGTTCCTCATTGTCAAATACCGACCCAGTGGTTCCGTTACCTCCTCCAACACCGTTGTATAATTTGCAACAGTGACATCTAAAGTATAAATGACTTCTAGCTCAAATTGCAATATTAAAATACAGCACGTTGGGCTTCCACCAAAGACATCCGGGACCAGTAGTCCTTGGCAGTTCTTTGCATACACATAAGAAGTCTAATATTTTTTCAAGAATATAACAATCTTAACTTTGACACAATTCTTTCCTCCTGGGTGGGTTAAGACATTCCGTAGAAATTCTACAACTTCAAAATTTTAAACTTGCATGTCGTATTTGTCTTTGTTGGTTTTTCTTGTAGCTGCTTTAAACAAATAAAAGATAGTAACATTTGGTGTATGGATATAATCATAACCATTTGATATTTAAATGATTGCGACTCAGGCCTTGAAGCATATACTTATTTGCCAATTTTAAGATAAGCTTTTTTTCGTAAGATTTTTATTTCTATAAACCTATTGTGTATACCAATTTAACAAAATGATTGTGTGCATGGATTTAAAACATTTATATTCGAATTCTGTATAATAAAAATAAAAATTCTTACCTGCATGTGAGTCAAACAATTTGATGTCACTTCAAACTTCTAGGAAATTTAGAAGAACAATGATGGAAAGTTGCTCTAAAATGTTCATGAGGATCTGTTTATGTCTCTAAATAAAAAAAATGACCCGTTTAAGAAAAATTATTCAACAGCTTTCACACTATTTCTTGACCATACATACATGTATTGTTGATATATATATACATATATATGTATAGGATAGGGCTTTTTTAACAGGTAATTAATTACTAATCAATCTATTTAGATAAATATCTTTCTTAAACACTAAACAACATTTAGATATGATTCCCACACATTTATTTTATTAAAGTATTAAGGAAACATTTCTGTAAGTCAAGTAAACAATAACAAAACTTAGGAATCAATTACAGATTTGTGTATTACAAACACATGTGCCTGAATAATAATATTTGTGAAATAAATTTGATTTTACAATTAATATTAACATAATTTCTTATCATTAACAACCACAAAGTACATGTAATTGAATAGTTATTTAGCATTTATTATTTTTTCCAATGTAGTTAATTAAATTACCATTACATGTAAATTTAAAAATGTTCGATTATAAATTGCATTCAATTACATGCAATATTGAAATGCATTACACATAATTACCATAATATTTTCAATTACCCCATCCCTGACTGAAACCATCTCAAAAAGAAGACAACGTATCGTATGTGCAGAGTATGTGCAATGTCTCTTTCAACCAGACGTTTATATGCAAGTATAAGTCATGGACAGATAAGAAAGACCGGGATGGCCTCCAGCATCCAACAGAGAATTTCTTTCTTTTGGTCCATCATTTGGAAATTGTTGTTCGACAAAATGTAATAATTTAAGAGCAATTTCCGTTTGAAAAGACTCTCTGAAAGAAAAGATCATAGATGCATTTTTTGTGCAACACAACACCAAAAAAAGATTTTTTCCAGCTAATAGCAATGCTTTAATCATCATTGAAGACATTGTAAATGTTGTTTAACTATACGTGGCAATGCAGTCAGTAAACTGCATCGTTAAAAACTTGCCCTCAGAAATAAACAGACTTCAAAAAAGCCACCCAAGCCATCCATTAGTCTGCGACAAGCACAAAAGGGCAAGGGTTAACCCTAACCCTAAAACACAAAAGTATCAATTATAACACTAGATGATCTTTCAATTTCAGAATACTGAAAATAACGTCAAAACAATGTAAGTCATTTATCAATGTTGCATGATTTCCACTAGTTGATACAATGTATATTTATGTGATTGGTCTAGTAATATGAAAGAAAACCTTTTTTTTCTCCTTTTTTATAATAGATAAGTCATTCACCTAAAGGAGTATGGACCCATAACATAGAATATTAATGATATGCTGTCGCTCCAAATTAATAAACTGAAAACCTATTGAAAACGATCTGCGCATAGGCGGGTGTGATTTTGTTAGTTTTTATGGACTTCCTCTTATTTGAATTTGCCTTGGAGTTCTGTATTTCTTAATTACATTTGCAATGTTTATTCTACATCAATGATCAATATCATTTGATTAACAACAGACCAAGTTGACAACCAAATGTGGAACGAAGTTTAAAAAAGGAAGAATTGCTGCATAAAACCGATATGTAACGTGTGGGCAAATACTTCCAGAAGACAGTGTGCCTTTCATATTCTTCACCTATTATACAAACCAGCTTATAGCACAATTCGAAATATGTTTTATGTTCTTTATTACTTGATTCAAACTAATAAGTGTTAACAACTAAAAAGTATGATGTTCGTTTAAATACATGTGAACTGTCTGACATGAAACAGTTCCATAAATAAGTACAGTTTCAAAAACTCCTACTTGGACTACAATTTACTCGTAAAGTTTATCTTTATGGATGTTGGGTCTAGATTATTGTCCTTGAGTCGGGTTGTTTTTGGAAACAAATGGTGTGTTTTTATGAAAAGCAGCTAGCTTTGTCAACAACAATAAGAAAAGATCAGAAATGTAGATTATGTAAAAGAGGGAAATTAAGGAATTAAACGTTACACAGAGACATGTTACAGTCATGTAATTTTGTGTTCGATAAGCGATTTTTTGTTGTGTTGGAAAAATGTCATGTTAATGTGACTTACACATTACATTGAGAGTTTCATCAGTATATATATATAGAGAGCGCTAGACACAGTGCAGGCGGGGGAAGAACAACAATTTGCTTCCGCAAATTTGCAGATTTAACATTGGTGAGCTGATATTTAGAGTAATTATGAATATATTATTTGTTTTAGCCGTGTATCGCCTTCACTGGTGATCCAATAGATGGATCTGTCGTTGAGTTGTCACATTTTTAGAGAATTACATAATTTCAATTTAGTAACTGTATCAGTTTATTTTCACAAGATGATCCACGCCTAAATGTTGACTGTTGCTATTTTTCGACACTGTATATATATATTGACAACGACGAAGGCTATTTGTTAAGCCGAAATATTTGTCAACACGATTTTATAACATCATCTTCGTATAATACCATATTATATTAGTACCGTTGTGCAAATCTTTAGACTAATATAAATTTTTCCTTATCTGCGCAGTATCGTCTGTTCTAGACGATCCGGTACATATTAAATTTGCTGGTTGGTCCTTTTAATAGACTTCTATATATATATATAGATACATATATAAAACAGTGTTTACATTGACATTATAAAGGACTGTTTGTATGAATATACTAAATTGCTAGAAATTATCAACCCCTCGTATTTATGCAGAAACAGCTAACCTACGAATATTTTATGAGATATTGACACACCAACAGGCTAAAATATAAAATAAAGAAATGTCGTATGATTACTATAATAGTAGTTTTAACACATTTTCAAAAGAAATTCGTCTATTTTAAAGCAAACTCTAACATGATAACATGTGAGGTTATTTCTTTTTTTTTATGGGAATATAAATAATGAACATCATTGTTCCGTATTCTTTCATTCAAAAGATTCCTTATATGAAAAATCAAAATATGATTTTAAAGTACATGTATAAAGTACCTCAATTTAAATTGTTAAAAAAACAAATTTCAGTTCTAATTTAGGTCAATGTTAAATACCAGACTTCAAAATTTAGTTGAAATATCATTTGCATGGTCTGTCAGTTTTCTATTGAACAATATCAGGTATCCTGTTTCAAGTTTGATTTCGAATACAACCACCTATTTAAATACGTCGTAATATAAGGTACACGTATATATAATACAATTATAAATATTGAAGTTTGTCCACAGGAATCGCAAAATATCATATTTAAGTTCAAATGCGGAAGCCGTTGGGATAAAATGGAATTTATGTCAAATAACGTTTCACTAAAATGCTGAATATGTGATGATATAGCACAATGGACACTCAAGTCAATTACTTATAATGGATAACATAAAGCATTCATTTCATCATCTTTGTCGTATTCAACTCTGGATGAAATAGTTTCAGGTAAGCATATTTAGCTTAATAAACATGATACAAAAATTTAACAATACTTTTAGATATTTGGATGATATATTGGCTCTCAATAATGACAACTTCAGTATGTATACTAAAGAAATTTATCCTGTTGAACTTACTTTAAATAAAGCTAATACTAACAATGACCACTGTCCTTTCCTCGATCTTGATATATATATCATTAACGGGAAGCTTATTACAAAAATTTATGATAAAAGAGATGATTTTTCATTTCCTATCGTTAATTATCCATTTTTAGATGGTGATGTTCCCTTTACACCATCTTATGGTGTTTATATATCTCAACTTGTACGATTCGCTCGTGTATGTAACAACGTATTAGATTATAGCGAGAGAAATTTATATATTACTGAAAAATTATTCAACCAAGGTTTTCGATATCATAAACTAGTCAAAATATTTACTAAATTTTATCATCGGTATAAGGACATCATTCGTAAATATAATTCAACATGCAGACATCTTATACGTTCGGGTATTTCACATCCAATCTTTGATGGTAATATTCTTTACAAAGCACAAAAATGTCAGTATTCACCTCAAAAGCTAACAAAACCTTTAAACAGACTTATTAAGAAGGGATATAGTTACGATACTTTTGTCAGGTCATTAAAAATTGCATATTTTGGCTTTAATATTGATTCACTTATATGGTCTTTGCATCGGAATTAAACATATTAATTCTAAAACCAGTTGTTGGCATGACACGGGTTTTGTTCTTTTCGTATATTTTTTGACGGTATAATACTAAACCCCTAACAGGAGGGATTGTGCCTGATATTCATTTGATGAAGATATAATCTTGCAATCAGTTTAATTGAGGTCTGGAGCTGGCATGTCAGTAACTGCTAGTAGTCTGTTGTTATTTATGTATTATTGTCATTTTGTTTATTTTCTTTTGTTTCCTATTCTGACATCGGACTCGGACTTCTCTTAAACTGAGTTTTACTGTGCGTAATGTTGTACGTTTGTTTTTTTCTACATTGGCTAGAGGTATAGGGGGAGGGTTGAGATCTTAAAAAACATGTTTAACCCCGCCGCATTTTTGCGCCTGTCCCAAGTCAGGAGCCTCTGGCCTTTGTTAGTCTTGTATCATTTTTAATTTTAGTTTCTTGTGTATAATTTGGAGTTTAGTATGACGTCCATTATCACTGAACTAGTATACATATTTGTTTAGGGCCCAGCTGAAGGACGCCTCCGGGTGCGGGAGTTTCTGGCTGCATTGAAGACCCATTGGTTGCCTTCGGTTGTTGTCTGCTCTATGGTCGGGTTGTTGTCTCTTTGACACATTCCCCATTTCCATTCTCAATTTTATGGTCATTCTACGTTTTATCTATCTTAAAAACCTAAGTTAAACTGGTTTTTTTCGGAGAGAGAAAGTAGCGGACGGCTTCCAACAGTTTTCGTGCAATAACTTATGGACCATTCAACCATTGATTTTCAAATTTTGATATGTTAATACTAATGACAAAATGGAGGTTAAATTCAATATAGACGATTTTCACCTTTACCGTTCAGGAGTTACCTTATGTCCCTTGATCTATTGGAAACTGGCGGCTGCCAACAGTGTCCGTGCAATGGCTTATAAACCGTTCAAGCAATGCTTTTCAAATTGTGATATGCTGAAACTAATGACAAAATGGAGATAAAGTTCGATATATACGATTTTGATTTTTACCGTTCAGGAGTTGTCCTTGATTTATTGGAAACTGGCATTTTATTTCGTTTCCATTCAATAACTTATGATACCATTTCTATCATAAATATGTATCTATGAATAAATGATGACAATATTTATCCGATGTTTAAATTTCGTAAAAACGACTGTATATATAACATTTTTGTCAGTAGACTGTTACTACTAAAATCCAATACTGTATATGTGATGTCATATGTATGTCTATATCCCTGTTGGCAAACTTTGGTCATTTTTTATCCATAGTTTGTTTTCTGATCTTGAGGACTGTAGCCTTAGACACATTTTAAAAAGAACATTTATTTATTTTACACAAAAAAGAACATGATATTTTTTCAACATGTAAGGTCAGTACTTCTTTGTTTGGATTATAGATAATGAACATTATCGTTCCGTATGCATTTATTCAAAAATTTACTTAAAGGGAAATCACACTATTGTTTATACGCATCGCTCTCGGCGCCGCTATAGTGTCGTGACCGTATTATGACGTCGCCGTTTTCGAGTCCGTCGTAAAGGTTGCTAATTTCTAAAATGGCGGCCCGCTCAAAGGGGCGTTCACAAAAGCAGGAGAAAGCAAATGACTGATTTAAGTGCAAAAATTAAAATGCTACTCGAAACGGACAAAATGTATGGCAAAAAATAGCCGAAAAAGGTCTTGATATGAATTACCTTACGATTGGGTTTAATTCAAATGAGTTACTCTCTTTAAATAAAGATATTATTATTATTATTATTATTATTATTATTATTATTATTATTATTGAGTTAGTATTTACATACAATACCATTTATACAATTATTTTTCTTAAAGGTTTATTAATTTCACCGAAAAATATTGTTAGATATGAGAAATATCAACATTTTTTGTTGATCTGGTCTTTATTATTTGTAGCGAAATCCGTCAGCTCAACTTTTTTTGTGTAGAAAAACTTTTTTTATTTACTGTAAAGTTTATATTTTCATATATTAACATATTTATTGATCTCGCAGATTTCTTAGTTTCACGAAGAAAAAAAATATTTAAAAGCAAAAGAGATATTTATAACACTTTTTGTCGATCATTTCAGTATAATCAAAGCGTACATCGGCGAATGTGAAATCCGTCCGGTCAACATTTTTTTTTTTAGAAAAACATTTTGTTTTACTATAAAGTTTAAATTTTCATATAAGATAACTATTAATCTCGAAGATTTCTTAGTTGTATGAAAAAATATTGTAAAACAAAAGAGATATTACTAGTAACACTTTTTGTCGATCAGTTCAATATATGTAAAGCGTACATCAGTGAGTGTGAAATCCGTCCGGTCAACTTTTTTTGTTAGATTTTCATAAAATATAGTCTAGTATTTCTAAGGTCTTCAAATATTAAAATAATCTATCAAATAACAAAAACGTTCTGACTATTTATATCTCATCCGGTCAATACGGGCAATTGTCCTGTCATTAGTGTAACCCAACTGTTGGCAGCGTATCGTCGCGATGCGGTATGTGGGAATATACTGGAAAAAAAATAACAATATACCAAGAGTAACAGCATGTAAGCGTACAGCTTCCGGAATTTGTAGTTTTCTGTCCAAAAGAGGGATTTAAATAAGAACAATGAGTTTCGATGTTCCTTTGGTGTCAAACGCCCCTCTCTCTCTCTCTTTTTCTTTTTTTTTTTGGGGGGAAGGGGGGAGGGGGGCATGGGCACAAATACATAAACACGAGTGATTCGTAGAGTAATCATATTTGTTGAAATATCAAACGTTATTTAAGAATAACGCCAGTTAAACATGACTGTAAAAGAAGCATACAAAATTTTACATCGGTTGCTGGCTGTCGAAATCAAAAAAAATTTAGCACGTATTATATAGTACATTATACTCAATCTTCCTTTAATGCTTTATACAGGCTTACATAATTTGGGCACAAAAAAAAATCATATTTTGTAGTATTTCTTCAAACTGTCAATTATAGCGAACTGTACGACCAGTAAGTTAAAAAAATAAGGCCGCTAGACGTCAGAGCACTATGGGAATCTCAAACACTATGCCTAGTTATTTTTGTCCTATTGATGACCGTACTGCCTACAACAACAACAAAATACCCACACTGTATATTTGGCTTTACAAGTCTCCAACAAGAGAAATATTGAACACACACACATGTATTTATGTAGAGTAACATGTCTTACAGAGTGCTAAACTGTAACCATCACATTTAGGTCCGTCTTGTGATAGAGTGTTCATCTCATATAGAAAAAAAATTTGTGCTGATATTCATGTAATATTTGCCATTGAAAGTTTTTCAAAAATCAAGAAAAAAACGAAAACAAAAACAAAACAAAAACTAGTAGTTCAGATGTAGGTTCGTGTTCAGATCACTCAATGTGATTCCGATCATGACCATTTGTTTAATACAAAGGTAGCTGATTTGCTCTTAATACTTGGTTCTTTAAAAAAAAATGGCCAACATGATATAGCAGAGTGCTGAAAGTGGCACACACAATCAATCAGTTATTTTCAAATAACCTATCATTAATCAGTTTTGGCAAAAAAAAAGTATATAGGCTATACCATACTGAAACATAAATGTGATAAAAGAATATACAATTCAAGAAAGAGAGTGCACCAACAGAAAATAGAAACTGCAATCTTTCTTTTTAATTTCATCGGATCTCAAAATTTTAACTCTTACCAGAATTTATTCTATCTTAAAGTATAACTCGGAAGTTTCTAAGTGGAACTCGAGTCTTAACTAGAACTCTTACTCGAATTAACATTCGAACTAAAAATAAAACTGGAACTTTAACTCAAAATTTAGCTGGAACTCGAACTCTTATTCTACCTCAAAGGTTATCCACACTCTCATTTGTCATCTGATAAAATAAATCGTTAGGGTTCCACGGAACCCAGTGTCTCGCCTACTTTTGCTGTTAATCGCAGGCTCAACAAAAATGAGGAAAAAAATCAATAAAAATATTCCTCTCGATACTATCTTTTAATTGTAAGAAGCTTCTGTCCAAGTTTGGTATAAATCTAGGATAGTTTATGGATTGTATAAATGTTTTAAAAACTTTAACTGCATACTGTATGTAATGTTAACTGGAAGAAAAACTAGGTCCATATATAAGTAAAATACGGATAAACAGGTACAAAATTTTGAAATAAATTTCCTTCGAGATACAAGCTTTTGATCACAAACAAGCTTCAGTCTGTCCAAGTTTGGTACATATCCAGGATAGTTTAAGAAAGTTATTAAAATTTTAAAAACTTTAACAACAGAG